CTCTTTCTTTAGCTCCAGAGGTTCTTCCCTCCGGTAGCTTGCCATGCAACACGTCTCATCCACCAGCAGAGTCAATGGGCTCCCACATTCTCTGCAAAGAGCAACCCCACTTGGCTTTTCTTCTACACGTGGCAACAACACACGCAGACAGGCAAGCAACGCCCCCCTCTTCCCACTCACCCCACCCACCCACCCCGAAACCCAGCTGGCAGCTTTGAGGCTCTGAGATTGATCCTGTGAACTCAGCATTTGGTCTCCTTGGCTGGATGCAGCGGTTCAAAGCCAACTGGCCACACAAAAGGAGGGAGGGAGGATTGGGGAATTGGAACATTCTCCCTATTGTACTTTGGGACAGCCTGGAGCTGAGCTGGGGTGGGCGGAAAGAAGCTTTGAATGCTTGTATTCTTGGGACAATTGGGTGTTTTTCCTTTCCTGCCTTACAACACGCATCTTTAAAAGATCCCAGCAACATCTTAGACCAGTGATGGCAAACGCGACTCTGCTGGGGTGTCTCACACACATACACCAAAGAGAAACAATTCTCTATCTCACCCCCTCCCCGCCCCATACACCTGCCAATCTAGGTCATCCTAAATAGCAGCGTTCAGTGGCTGTGCTGGCCCAGACCTTGTCTTCAGCCCCTACCACTACTGCTGTCACTCAAAAAGGCTACCTCTGCCATCCTCCCAGGGTGCAATTATCCTGCAATCCAGTGCTCCTGGAGTTCTCTTCCTGTTGACAGGCCCCTGCGGCCTACCCGAGCTTGCTCCAGATCACATGAAGCCTTCGTTCTTGAATCAGCTTCACAGAATGCTGTTCCATGGTCTCTTCAGCCTCCAAAAGCTGTGCCTTATTCTCAACGTGACATCCGAAGGTCTGGAGGCTATGCAAGAGCACACACCATTCTCACGCAGCCTTTGAAAACGCCGCAAAAAAACTCTTTCAACAATAGTTGTTGCGTGTTTGTGAATGCCGCTGTATCACGCAAAACGTGGCGTCATTTGACACGTGCCTTAGGTTGGCCTTTGACACGTGCCATAGGTTGGCCATCATTGTGTTAGACCAGTGGTTCTCGACCTTTTTAATGCCATGACCCCCAACCGTAAGTCGAGGATTACTCAACTGGTCGTAAGTCAAGGGCTACTCAACTGGTGCAGCACCGTTTGCAGAATGGGACTTTTGGCAGGCTCAGCAGGGCAGAGACAGCCTGGACAATTCCTATTGGCTTTTGAAAGCCAATAGAATTAGACTCTATTCAAGAGAGTCTATTCTATTGGCTTTCAAAAGCCAATAGAATAAAAGGGAGTATCACAGCTAAGAAAAAGGGGGAAAAAATGGCGGACTGCATTGTTTGGCGACCCCCGTGAAATGGTCGTTCGACCCCAAATGGGGTCCCGACCCACAGGTTGAGAACTACTGTGTTAGACCCACATCCTTGGCCCACCAAGACTGACAAATGATTATCTCTACTGAACTACAAGTGAGCATTATGACTATAAGATGTAAGTGCAATGGGCAGCATATAAATGTGATAAATGAATTCAGCTGCCCTGGGATTGAGGAAAAGGTTCAGAAATCATCACCGGGTGTGCTTCTCCTATATCCTCAGCCAGGTATGTGTCTCTTGAGACAATATTACTCTTACTTTCTGACAAAAGAGATCTTGACCAGGAAGGATTCTGAACTGTAGGGAAGGTGTGTAGTCAGTGAACATAAAGAAACTCAATTGGACTATGTTTCTATCAATTATAATATGATACAATATAAGATTTTCCCTGGAGTCAAGCTCAACTCCTGATAACTACCATGTCTATCTTCTTGGCAACAACATGGAAGTGCTTTCCCACAACCACTTTGGGTGGCTTTTTGATTGACCAGTCTAATCTAGTGTTGGTATTTCCTGATGGTCTCCCATTCAAGCATTAACCAAGAGGTCTGCCCCTGGTTTCATTTTCAAGATCAGCCCAGGTCGACTAGATGCCGCCGCCTCCTGTTTGGTGATGCCTTGATGCTTGCTAAACATGGCTTAAGTGTTGAGAGAATGCATGAGGTTGTTTTGAAACATATATCATGAGAAATTGTATTCTTTTTTCATTTGCAAGATTATCTGAATCCTTTATGCCTCTACTTTGCACTTTTGGGTAACTTTCAAGTTGATACTTTCATCGTAAACAATAGAAGAGGGTGTTCTAGTACAAAGGCATGTTATATGTAGAACTACAAGCTTAATGCAGAAAACATTCCTACCGATAGCTAATCAGAATATTTGCGAGAGGTTCTCCACAGGCACAATAGCTCTGATTATTCAAGCATTGGACTTAAGTGCAGAATCAATGCATGGGAGGAGGAATATATGTTCATCTCCCACCAGTAGGAAACCAATGTCTGTATCACTTTGTTGGTCTTTTCATATTATTGTTTTTTGTATAAGTATTATTTTTATATCGCCTTTGTTCCTGAGATCAGTATAACCCCGTCTTTGCTCTTTCTCAGCTCTAAAGTAGAATGTCTGTTAGAAGGGCTCCATTTCAACTTCCAGTATCTTCTGTTTCTATTAAGTAGAATTTGAATTTTGACTAGCTTGCTACATCTCCAGGGTTCCATCCTGACTTCTCTGGAGGAAAGAGGCCGGGCTGGTGAAGACACTGCCCATGGGCCTTGGGAATCAACTCCTGTTACAGTAGGATTCAAATCTATTTACTCCACTCTCAGCAGGCCACCCAAATATCCCACTTCACTGATGGGAATTTGTTGAGGTCACTGAAACGCCATTGTCGAGCTTGACAAGTAGGGCCATTTCATTCCAATATGGAGCTGGAAACCCTTATCCCCACACTTGCTTCTGCCACTCCCTTCGCCCCACGCTGAATAAATGCTGTGACCCACCAGTTTGCTGCTTCCAACAGTCTCCCTCCTTGTCTGCTGTTCAGATGCCGATTCGCTGCTCTCAGTTGCCTTTTTTTCCAGCGTTGGGCTGCTTAGCTGCACTCCAGAGCTGGCTCTCTCGTTCTCTGTTGCCAGCTACCTCTGACTCCACATGCAGCCATTTGTTCGCTGCACTCCTGTCTGCTGGTGTTTTCCTCCTTGCCCCAATTTCTCCTTTTCCTTTATCCTTTATATCTTCCTTATCTAACTTTCTGCTTCTTTTTCCTCCCTTCCCCCCCCCCCATACCTTCCTACTTAGTTTGGTTACTTCTCTCCCCCTGATCTGATACTGCTTCCTACACTGCCGCCATCTTGGATCGCTTGACCGTTCTTCTGAAAAGTCATTGCAATCATGAACCTGAGTTTGAAAATGCTTGCGAATGATTGCAGCGATGCAAATAAAAAGAGATTTGGTGCCTACAGGTTAAAACAGAGGTCATTCTAGGCTGGGGGAAGAGGGTGGAGTGCTTGCTTGTCAGAGGCAGACAGGATGAAGTCTTACATGAGCAGCTGTTTATTTTCAAGCATAATTCCAATTGCATGTGTAGCTGCCTAATAGAAAACTTATGTTTCATTTCTTGGCTGCGCCTTGCAGGAGACGTTGAGTTCAGCCATAAACCAAAGACATGCACGTTTGCACACTTGTACAACTCGGAAAGTTTAATGAAAGCCAGAGCATTGTCAATTGCCATGTTGTTTGCAGTTATGCCAAGATGGCTGAAATTCTTCAGGGGATGCGACACGGCATGAATGTGGGGCACCGCCCACCTCCAAGGGTGATTGAATCCATTTATATTAATAAAATTTCCTAATTGGTTCTCCAAATTTCAGTTCCCATCATGTGCTCTGTTGAAGCAACCACAATGAAAGTGTTTGTTCAGAATGGGCCGGGCAATTAATTTTATTTTAAAATTAGGGCTTCGGAATAAAGTGGGCTTTCTCTTCCAAAGGTTGTTTTTTTTCCTTTTTCGTGGCACCAAGCCATGTGGCTTTGAAAGGCTACAGTGTTCAGATGTGACTTTCTGAATGCTTTTCATCCACCCTGGTGGTGGGTGTAAGACCCTCTTAGTTGGCATTTGTGGTTTTGGGTGTGTGGAAACTTCGCCAAGCTTGACAGGCAATTCCAAGAAATCTTCAGGCTTATGTGAAAATTAGGATATAAAGCACCAAGATGCCCCTAGGAGATTCAGCAGTCTAGAATAGTGATGTGCCATTTGTTTTGATCAATTTTTTAGTCAGATGATATAAATCTTGGCTGGCTTCATTGACAGGTTTTGGGGTTTGTTTTGCTTCAAGGAATGAAACAGAAACCTCATTCTGAATGTCCATGAATGAGGACCCAATGTGCTTTCAACCTAGAGCAGTTCCCATTCATGCATTGTGCAAGTGGCTTTCGTAAAAGGGAATAGCCAGTGTACGGGTAGCAAACAGACATCCCCTGGAGCAAAGGAACAGTTGTTTCTAACATCAGCCAGAGATGCAGGAAGCATAACCCAGATCAGGATTATAGGAAGGGGGGGGGGAGATTACAGGATGAAGAACAGGGAATGCCTCCTCCGCTTGCCTCCAGCAGGCTCCCCATTCGAATTCCCCTCCCTTGTGTGTTGTTAACCAACTGCATGAATGGCCTCTTGTCTAGCAACTGGCTTCCCAAAACAGCGTCTGCTTTGGATTTGGCTGGCTCAGGCAGAGTCCTCGTTTCATGTTGGCAACCTGTTTACACTGCCAGGTTGGCGGTGACAGGCATCCAGAGCAAGCTAACAAAGCTGAGCTTTTAGCATCGTTGAAAGCACATAATGAAAATGATCCAAGTAATTCTTACAACTGCTCAGTAAACAAGGTAGGCAAAGATTCCCTCAGATCTTGATGCCGCTGAAGGACTGAAAGTGGAGTCATCAGATGGCAGGAAAATGTGCTTCCTATGCAGCCTTTAAGGCCTCTGACTCTGGGGTTGTTCTGTGGCTCCCTTGGGCCAGTCCTTGGCTCACTGCCATCAGTGCTACATCTGAGTGAGGTTTGAGGCCTGCCTCCTACCATACTCTTGACTAATTCTCTTTTTTGCATCTCTCCCTCAGGGCTCTGCATTCAAGTGGCACTCTCTGAGCCAGTCGCCTGAGCAGCACAGGTAGGTGCTGAGTTGTTCCTTTCCAGCTGGGAGAGTTTCAGTGGTGAATTTTTGTCCTGCTCTGCTGAAGACAGGCTTGCTTTTTCCCCCATGTCAGCCTACAGAGAAAGCTTTGCCTTCTGTGCAGTCTAATCAAAAGCTGTCTGTTTCTTGCTTGTGCTCGCTTAGGACACGGTCTTGTTTCCCCCCTGTGGCTGAGTCAGTGAGATGGCCCTACAGTGGTTTGGTGGTGGTGGTGTTGGGGAATAACAGAAATTATGCACCTGGAGGTAATTTGCAAGCACTGTCAAGATATTTTGTCTTCTGGGATAGAGCCTTTAGACCAAGGACCCGTTGGCTGTGTTAACTCCAGTCCTATATCTCCTGCTGGGGACAGAATTTCACCAGCTAAAGCAGTGGTTCTCAACCTTTTTAATGTCGCGACCCCCAACCAGTCATAAGTCGAGGACTACTCAACCGATCGTAAGTCGAGGACTACTCAACTGGTGCAGCACCGTTTGCAGAATGGGACTTTTGGCGGGCTCAGCAGGGCAGAGACCGCCTGGACAATTCCTATTGGCTTTTGAAAGCCAATAGAATTAGACTCTATTCAAGAGAGTCTATTCTATTGGCTTTCAAAAGCCAATAGAATAAAAGGGAGTAGCACAGCTAAGGAAAAGGGGGGGGGGGGAAATGGTGGACTGCGTTGTTTGGCGACCCCCTTGAAATGGTCGTTCGACCCCAAATGGGGTCCTGACCCACAGGTTGAGAACCACTGAGCTAAAGCTTCAGAACGATGGTTAACCTCTCATGGAATAGGGTAGATTCACTCTTCAATTTGTCTCTTTAATAAGTAAACTTTTCAATTGACGGGGATTGCAATTCCTCCTTTATTTCTCTGGTGCAACTTCCCTCAGCCTGGTGTCCAGCAGACATGGGACGTATAATACAATGCTTTGAATCAAAAACAAAAAAGTGCTTCAGAGCACACAGGGCAAGCATACCATATACCTTTCTGCAACTCCTCAAACCAAAATCCTCTTCTGGGATCACATGGTAATAGGAGTATACAGGTTGGAGGACCAATTCCCACCTTTAATCTCACTGGTTGAGCAGGGCTTATGGGAATTGTGGTCTTAGCATATCTGATGGGTATCAGATTGCCATCCCTGATAGGAGTTAATCTTCCCTTCAAGGGAGCCAATGCAAGAAGACTAGGATGTGGCCTAGTTGAGTGTTGCTTCACAACAAGAGACTTCAGACAAAATATCCATAAATTACATTTGATACCGAATCACCTTCAAGCTTTAGGAATGTGCCTTTAAACCTGCATTGATGAAAGTTATAAGAGCAAATTGCCACTTCAGCTCTTTAGGAAGAAGCTTTGTTGTGCAGAAACAAAGAGAGAGAGCCAAGAAAGTGCTCACTGGAGAAAGGGCCTTTGTTTTTGCCTCATCTACCAACCCCATGGCTGCAGTTCTCCAAATGATTGGAGGTGAAATTCTCCTGAAGCTTTCTTAGGGAACAGGAAAGTTGGGTTTTAACGGTGCACATGAAAGGTATAAAGCAGGGGTAGGCAACCTTGGCTCTTTTATGACTCGTGGACTTCAACTCCCAGAATTCCTGAGCCAGCATGGCTCAGCTTGGAAACCTCTCCCTTTCCCCTCAGCATGGCTGGTTCAGGAATTCTGGGAGTTGAAGTCCACGAGTCATAAAAGAGCCAAAGTTGCCTATCCCTGGTATAAAGGAATACCTTTCCACAGGCTTGTGATTTCATTGCTAAATGGGGACAAATATCTTATTACAGTGGTTCTCAACCTTTCTAATGCCGTGACCCCATAATACAGTTCCCCATGTTGTGGTGACCCCCAAGTGGGTGTGGCCCCCAATAAGAGGGAGTAGGACAGCTAGGGAAAAGGGAAAAAAATGGCGGACAGTGTGGTTTGGCGACCCCCGTGAAATGGTCATTCGACCCCAAATGGGGTCCCGACCCACAGGTTGAGAACCACTGTCTTATTACATTCCCATGACAAGTTTTTGCCAACATAGCATCCTTCAGGTTCTTCTAACCTGCTACCTCGCAGCATGCTGGGTGATGAGGTTTGTGGGCAGTACATCTTGAAGGTGCAAGGCTGAAGAAATAATGACCTTCCCCCTTGTTAGAACTACCGTCATATGTGATAGACAAGGAGAACAAAAGCCAGGAGTAATCCAGGCTATTAGGAAATGTTTCTGTGTAAAAGCTTCTCCTAAAATACGCTTCTGAATTATATTGGGGACGTTTCTTAAATTCCAATTGACAGCCTGTAGAAATTAAATAAACTTTTGGGAGTCGCTTATAAAAACCCTCCAATTCAACCATACTTCTTTTCCAGAAATAATAAGCAGAATCCAGGGGTGGCCAGTTGGGTGTGTACATGCACCCATACATTATTTGTGGCCAGATATTCTACTCTGTTTTATAAAGAGGTGCAACTTTTTCATATAAATGAAAGGAAGAATCTTTGTCTCCTTCTTGCAGTTTCCAAATTTTCGTTAAATGGAGTAGCATATTTTTTTTTTTATCAAACGAGAAGAAATTTTGACCACTTACTATCCTTATACCAGATGGATTCATATCATAAATGGACAATGTTCATGGAATGACCAGTTCCATTTAAAAGGACAGAACATATACTCAACTTGCAATATCTGGTGGTAATATATGGACTTTGATAAAAAAAAAGTGATTGATAATCTGGGATATTTGGACAGGAAGGCAAAGCAAATATTTCTCAAGAGAACCTGCAGAATGTTCAGTAAACACGAGTTCATTTTAGTATTGAAGTTATTCAATTTTTTTTAGGAGAAATTGACAGGAATTTTTTAAATGCATGTTTAATTGTGAAAGATTGCAGCTCTGTTGTTAGAAGAGTGGCCATCCATGTAATTTACCCTAAAAGATGGTTCCTGTAGGTTAGATTATCTGCCGTTCTTCGGTATTTATTTTATGTATTTCCATTTTGCAGTAAATGAGTTTGCAAGAAAGAGATGCATCTAAAAAAGCATACTCTTGAATAACGTGTAGTGGTTGTTTGCTACTGAATCTATGTTTGCTTCAGCAACCCCATCCCTGATTACATTTGTGTTTGCTTTGGCTATGTTTTTGCACTTGGATCTCCTTTTGTTATTTTGTTAGCTGTGGTCTGGATTCATAAAGACTGGATGATACACAAAAGGCTGCTCCCTTCCTGTTTGTTTCATTGGCTCAAAGTGGCGATGGAAGGAGCTGTAAGGGAAAGAGGGACTGTGAGCTGCAGAGATGATTCTTGGGTGGGGCAAGTGCTTGATCCAGCTGCCTGGCTAAGAAGAAGAATGCTGCTTTCGCTTCCCACCAACCCTGTATTTGAACACGCATAAGACCGAAGTTACTGAACTATGACTAAGGGAAGTTCCTGTAACTTAAATCATATTGTGGGGAAGATGGAGGAATCAGAAAGTGGAGAGAGATCCTTACACAACTTTGGGAATATGGCTTGGGATCTGCCTTATGCAAGGTCCTGAGGGATTTCAGCTGAATTTCTTTCCTCTTGCATTGTTTCAGGAAAGTGATCACACTGGAGAAAGAAGAGAGCCAGACATATGGTTTTGAGATTCAGGTAAATGTAGGGAGAAGGCCTTCTATTCATTCCTAAACTTACCTCACATACGGCTAAGTTTTGCAGGCTGCCCTCAGCAGGAATTGAGGACAGGGTTTTAAATCACATGCCTCAGGGTATTTGCAAATGGGAAAAAAATTGAAATACAAATTTAAAAAAAATTAAAAATTGAGGACTTAGATTTTCAAAGCAATGAATATCAGATCTGAGGAAAATATGACAACATCTTGAATCTGGCCTGTCTCACTATTCAGCTGAGTTTGATCTTCGACATTTTAAAGAATGAGAAATGATCCAAATCAGGCAGAATTCATTTCATCTCACAGCTTGCTATGGCTGTTTAGCTCTTCATGCTGTTTTACCTCATTCATTATAGATTATAGCATCAACCCCTAATCCACCCTTCTCATGCCATAATAAATAATAATTCTTTTTCCCATCTGGGCAATTTTCAGACCTATGGGCTACACCATCAGGACACAAAACATGTGGAAATGTTCACTTTTGTTTGCCGGGTTCACGAAAACAGCCCAGCCCAAGCAGCAGGCCTTAAACCTGGTAAGAGACTTCATTTAATGCTTTGTACTGCTTCACTGGAGCTCAACAGCTGACTGGTAAAATCAGAAGAGATGATTCAGGTTTTAGACCTTCCTGGTCTTTAGTGGCCAGTAGGAATGTCATTCTGTCTTCTTGAACTGCGAATTTCAGTGCACATTGTGTACAGCCCTCTGTTTTATTGTCTCCACGCTTCCTCCCAACTTTTTACAATTGTAGGGAACGCTGAGTAGATCTCTGTTGTGGAAAGCCATTGGAGGACACCATGATATCACTGGCTCCTCTTGTTACTTCACAGAACAGAGCCTCCTGCAAGGCCACAGTCTGAACTCCACATGTCATTTGCTGCAGGATACCCTCCAACTCAGTTTGCTAGTTTCCCCAAGCCTCAAAGTGTGAGCTGCTCTGTGAGGCTCCAAGGAGAGGTGCTGAGATCCCAAGGTGAAGGCTAGAAATTGGGAAGTGTACAGGTAGAACTTGCTTAATGATTGCCCTATTTAGCCATTGTTCAACGTGACAGTGGTGCTGAAAGACTAGCTTTACAACCAGTCTTCACAGTTACAACAATTGCAGCGTCCCCAGAGTCACATGATCGACATTCAAACTCTTTGCAACCAGCAAGCATTTAAGACAGTCACATCTCATGTTCACGTGATCATCATCAGCGTACTTCACAGCCAGCTTCCGACAAGCAGAGTCAACGGAGAATCCAACAGTAAAATTATAATTCACAATCATGTGATTTCTCGCTTAATGACTTAACTGTGAATTGTTTAACAACTGCCGTTGAAATGAGGTTGTAAGCCTGTTGCAATCACATGATATTTCACTTAGTGACTGAGTTGCCGTTCCCAATTGTGGCCACTGTGCAGGGACTGTCTGCATTTTCTCACCTCTCATTATTTAGAATCAAAGGAGACCACAGTTGATGGGGTCATGTGGAATCCTTGCAGATTTCACACTTCTCGCAGGACTATCCCGTCCAGATTTGACTACAAATCACCAACATGGGGAGTGACAATTGCCTTCCAGTTTCCCATGGAAAATAAAAGGAAAAAAAATAGTACTAGACCCAGTTTAATATGCCTAGAACAGAGAAAAGAAATCAAGAAACCCTCTCCAGACAAAGCCAGACAGACAACACAGGAAAACCTGTCTCTCTGTTTTCCTAACATCATCAATTTGTCCAGCTGGGATTTCCAGATTTAAAATATAATAGTTCAGAAGGCATTCCTGCTCCCTGGAATGCTAAGCATTTTTTTCTGAACAATCAAAATACTGTATTTTTTCCTCTTAAAATGGGCAGTGGGCCCATTGTCTCCTGGCCAACAGGACTCGTGGAAGAAATATTGTACTGTACAATAGCCAAAGAGTGGGGTCTATCTGAAACAGGCCAGGAATGTAGGCTCCTTCTCCTTGTTCCTTCCTTGCCTGTGTTTCATTGGCTCTTCGTAAGGAGGCCTCAACCATCTCTGGCTTCACATCACAAGGAACCATGAAGAAAGCTGAGGCGCAGCTTTCACATGGGTGCCGCCTTCTCTCCTCCCAGCTGCTCTGCTCTGGAGAGCCAAAGCATTGCACCTTCATTTAAAGCAGCATTTTTTTTCAAACTTGTCCCCTTTAAGATGTATGGACTTCAACTCGCAGAATTCTCCAGCCAGTTGAAATCCACACATTTTAAATCTTGACAGGGTTGAAAAACAGTCAGATTGACAGCAGGCTGAAACTGAGGTGAGGGTGAGGGGGTGAATGAATTAGAGGGTTTGGCTGTGCAGTGTGGTAACTTCCTTTATTCCCATTAAAGTCTGCTTTTCCTGCTTTTTGTACAGAGGGCATTTTTTTAAAAGTACACCTCTCCAAGCCTAGATCATTTTTCCCCATAGCAGAACATTTTCTGGCTACCAAGCAGTCTCTTTTTTTCTCTTATGTAAACAACCCTAGTCCTCAAAATCAAAAGCTGTACTTAAAAATAGCAGAACAATCTCAGAAAAAAACTGAAAGAATATTCTGTTAACATTTTCTATATAGTAATAAATTACCGTTATCTGTACGGGATTTTTTTCTGAATTGGGATATTGCATTGGAAGGTTTAAAATGCTTCTATTTCTCCCTAATACCGCATGTACCATATATATATATATACAGACACTCTTTAAGATTATGTGTACATATAAGCACACACTCACTCTCTCTCACACACATACATTCTATAAACACACCTAAATGCAAACACTTAGATTCTCCATGTTTCTGTTCTTTCACCCGACTCCAATATCTTTTTATTTTATTTTCTGTCATTTTGTTCAATAAAACAGAGAAGAAGAAATCTAAAAAGTCACGAGTATTCTTGATTAAATATTTCCCCACACCCCTCCTATGGTCCTGCCCTCACTAAACCCTTGACACATAATTAGAATGCTCAGAATAAAACCAAATCAACGTGCAATTATGCTGTTTACATAATTTAGATGGCACCCAAAACAAAATTGTCATTGCCATGTTGGTCTATGGAAAAAAGAAATCCAAACCTATACTTTTATGAAGACTAAAAAAATGCAGTACAAGTGTGTGCAAGTTTTTATGATTATGTCTTTAAGCAAGCAAAACCAGGGGAAGAGGAAAAATCGCTTCACCTCTTTTAGCCATGAAGCGGAGAGATCACAGTCAACTCTGACATGGGCATTGTGGACTGAAAGCCTTCTTTGTGTTAAAGATGTGGGGATCAGGCATACAAGGCCAATAAAAAAGGGGGGGGCTTCATCCATCCCTACCTCCACCACCATCCTTCCACGCCTGAGAGACCAAAATAAAGAATGTTTTTGCTGAATTGCAGAAGTGATATCTTAAGTTCTGGCTTTAAATGTGCAGCCCAATAGAGATCCTTTGTTTCCCCCTTCCCACACACACACACACACACACACTCCTTTTTGTTGCCTCTCTGCTTTATAGGAGACACAATCACAGGGGTGAATGGGCTTAACGTAGAAGGCATCCGGCATCGTGAGATTGTGGAGATCATCAAAGCATCTGGAAACGTGCTCAGGTAAAAGCCAGATCGATACTTTTAGCCAGAACTAGCCCTCCCCTCCCCCCCCCCACTCCACGTGCCGCTGCTGTGGTTTTCCAGCCATGGAGGCATCACTCATCTCACTTTGTCCCCTGTTCAGGTTAGATACCTTGTATGGCGCATCAATCCGGAGGGCCGAATTGGAGGCTCGCTTGCAGTATCTCAAGGTGAGTGGCATTCAAGCAGGAAAATGCAGTGAAATGTTTACAAGTTTGGCTCAGGTTGCTGCCAGAAAGAGGCAACTGTTTTGAATTAGGGCCTGTACATGGATATGAAATCTCCCAAACTCAACCTGGGTAACTGCCCTGCAAATATTTATATAGACAGAATTGCAGGGTTTTTTTGGCTTTGATCAGGATACTCCATATTCCTAAAAACCACAGAAAGCTGTCCTATGCCAAGTGCAATTATTAGTCCATCTGGCTCAGTATTGACTGTAAAAAACAGCAGTTTTCACTGCATAGGAATTACTAAGGGGAAAGGAGCAAAGTTAAAACTTCCTCCTCTATTCTCCTCTCCCCCTTCCTTCCACCCACAAATAGGTCCCTTCCCATTTGCCTTCTGCTTCACCCACTGTGATCCCCTATTTTGGGGTTCTGTGCAACTCTTCAGCTGAAGAAGTATAACAACATCTTGGAATGGAGGAAATCAGGGACAAATACAACCTCTAGGGCAGCGTTTGGCAAATTAAATTTTTTAGTAGGTGTCAAAAGAAAAAAGAGGAGTTGTGCAGACCAAGCTACCCTTCTTTTAACACTGATCAATAACTTTTCCACTTTCCATCAAATGTTTTTCAGCACTATTCACTTTGTTCTTTCACAGTAAATGTCATTTTCACTATTGGTTTTTTGGTATCAGTTTTACCCCAGCAGGAAATTCTTGATCTCTGTTTCTCCACATGCAATATATCCTAACAGCAGCAAGAAGGGATGGAAATAGCTATGCCACCTAGAGAATGCAGGATATGTTTCAGGGCTGAAATTTTCCTTCCCCCCCCCCCTTTATATTCTGCTTTTGTTTAGGAAAAATAGATGTATGAATCCTCTTAAGAGGTCTAATTTTACTTACAATTCCAAGCCCCCGAAAAGGGGGGAAAAAAGTGGTTGGCCCAAACTGTATCTTTATGAGGTGAGGGATCCCTTAAAAATAATCTTATTCCCCATGATTAAGGTGTAATTTAAGATGGTTCTGGACATGACAAAAGGAATATCTACACTGATATAAAAGAATACAGTTGGCGTAACTAAATTAAATACATTTCTTAACATTGCTTGGATTTGGGGTTTTGCTTGTTCTTTATAAATATTATAGGCAGTGTGTTGTAATATTGAGGCATCAGGCTAGAAACCAGGAGACTGTGAGTTCTAGTCTGATCTTAGGCACAAAGCCAGCTGGGTGACCTTCGGCCAGTCCCTTCATATCATCCCTAGGAATGTTGACTCAAAGGCATATGTCTGTCTGTCTACCTACTTATTTACCTATCTATATCTGTCTGTCTATCATCTAACTCTATCTAATGTTGCAGGCTTGAATAAGTTGTTTTTTTTAAAGAAATAAATTTAAATTAATAATAACGCAGTGCAGCTTTGATTCCTGAGCTACTACTCTTCTTATTTCTCCCGTTGTTCAGAAAGATGCTCTTCATCATCTCCTACCTCATATTTTTCCTTATTAGATATTTCATAAACTAAATCGGGAAGTTCTACCTGCAGAGTCTGCTGATAAATGGAGCCACAGCCTTGTCTAATTACTGTTTGAGAATCTTTAGTTCTGAGGATTTTTTATGTCTTTAGCAGGAAGTCTCTCTATCTTTGAGAAGTAGGTGGGCCATTAGTATCTTTCAGAAGCCAGCAGGTAGTTGGACAATAGGCTGCAACTCTTCTCCTCTTTCAGGCTTTTGTTGTGTCTCTTTGCAGCCCATAACATTTCCAACTCTTATCTATTGGATTCTTTGAATCCCCCCCCCAACCCAGGCAGGAGAAGCCATCTGCTTTACCCACAGAGCAAATAAAAAAGGAAGGATGAGATATAAGGAGACTGGCTCACCAGCAGTCAAGCACCATTTGAAGGAGATCATAATTAGATATATATATAGTCTTGACTGATCCTTGTTGTTTGTAATGTCAGTTTCTTTCCATTGTAGCAAACACTCTATGAAAAATGGGGAGAATATCGGTCATTGATGGTCCAGGAGCAGCGCCTGGTCCATGGTGAGTGTCAGAAGAGTGTCGGCGTTTTTTGTGATTGTCTTCTAGATCATGGATGGAGAACCAAATCTGGCTGAAGGGGCTGGCAGCAGAAAGACATATTCCATGGTTTACAGACTACTCTTGGCTGTATTTGTGTAACCCACTAGGCGAGTGTTTCTGGGAATTGAAGTTCATGCGTCTTATAGTTATTGAACCTGAGAAACACCGCACTAAGTCACACCAAGATTACCACAAAGTGTGGATTCAAACATGAACTAGTTCTTTTCTTTGGGAGAACAAGCAGGTTCCTGCCTTCACTTAAGTAATTGTTTGCTCTTTTCTGGTAGGGATCGTGGTTAAAGACCCCAGCATCTATGATACGTTGGAGTCCATGCGCTCCTGCCTATATGGCTCTACACCCTATGGGATGCTGTTGAGAGGAGCTGGGAGTACTTACAGCAGCGTGGGCTGTGTCAGCACTGCCACTGATGAGACCGAGGAGTCTCTTTACCAAACTTGCTTTTTTGACTCTGCCGACTCCCTGGACATTGTCTCCGCAGCAGCTCAGTCGTCACGGCCCAAGACAACATTAACCCGCAGCATCAGCGTCAAATGCACCACCAGCAGCAGCAGCAGCAATGGGGATGCCTATTTCTGGGACAAATCCGGAGAATCAAAGAACTCTGTAGTCACGTCAAGGCCCCCCAAAAGCAAACAGGGAAGCTTCCGCAAGAGACTCCTCAAGTTTATTCCTGGGTTGAATCGTTCTTTGGAGGAAGAGGAGAGTCAGTTGTAAAAGGACATTTCTTATTGGGAAAGCAAAGTACAGTTCAGCTGTGAGGCCGGCTGTCTCTGCTTGCTGTGTTCTCTATTTATTTATTTATTTGACTAGCAGAGGACTGGGCTTCTGAACGCCACCAGACCAGCTCTATGGAATGCAGGTTGCATCCGCCATGGACTTTGGGAAGAATAATTTGTCAGCTGGGATGGGAGCGGGGTGACAGTGGATCTTCAGGTGGAAGGGAGAAAGGAGACCTCGAAAGAAAGAAAAAAAATGTAGCACATTGTGAGGCCAAAGAAGTACAGGTGATTTTGTATACTTCATTCATAACGAGGGTAGTTTGGGTTTGGGATGTTTTCCAGGAATTGGCATAAAGCAGTCTCTTCAAACCATTGGGTGGTTCTTTGTTGTCGTGGGCCACAGGATGACTTTTAGAAATGGATGGGAAACAGGACATTATTATTGGTTTAACTAGTTTAAAAAAAAAACCTGGTATGTTTGGTTTGCATTTGTACATTGGGTGGTTTATGTTAGGACTTAATGAGCGGGGCATTAGAAGAACCAGCATATTAACTTAGCCTAGAGCATGAAGTAACATTTGAGGTTTAGTCAGAAAGATTGAGAAAGCTCAGACCCGAGGCAAAAACTGTCCTCAGTAGAAAGCAAAAGCTACCACCTTCTTTTATTGGACACCCTCCAGATGCATTGGGACTTCAGGTCCCAGAATTCCCGTTTAGCCTTGTCTTTGGCCACGTTGGCTGGAAATTTGCATTACATTTAGAAGGCTCAGTTACGGGATGGAGTGAGCTGCGTATGAAACCGGCCTCGGTAAGGGGCCATGAAGTAACAAGAACTCCCAAGCTATTTCTGCGTTTTGGTTTTGTATTTTTAAGTGTTGAAGGGCAAGACTGCCAGGGGTTTTATGCACATCAAGTTCAATCTTTCCCTTACACTTGGGGCCAGGCCGATTCTGAGCTGTGCTTAGAAGAAGGAACACTTAATCCACTTTGGGAGTCCATGTCTTGCAGTCAGCCCATATGTCTATAGCAGCACAGTGTTTCTCAACCTTGACAATTTTAAGGCATGTGGACTTCAACTCCCAGAATTGCTGGCTGTGGAATTCTGGGAGTTGAAGTCCACATGCCTTAAAATTGTCAAGGTTGAGAAACACTGCTAACAGCAGATACTTTCCCTCCTGCTGGGAAGGCCGATGAATGGAGAACTCCCAACCCCCTCCTCCCCCCCCCAGTTTGTATAAATGTGGTTTCTAAGCTGCTCTGTATCTATATCTGCTCTGGGGAGCCACATCCTGTCTGTCTCATTACCTCCAGAGGCTGCAGCAACTCCCCACAACCTCCCTCCAGTCTTTAAAAAAATCCAGATGTTATTACACATTTTCCCTCTCCTTGTTCTAGAGCAACTTTGAAAGGAAAAGTTATAAGAAAAGAGGTGTTGGTGTTACATTTTTCTCTTGCAGCGTACCTAATGCTACTTGAAAGGCCAATAGACCAATAGGAAGTCCAACATTCAGTTTAATAAATTCGGTTTATCCTAGTTTTACCGACTTTTCTCCAAGTTTGTAAAAGATTGGCTCTGTCAGGAGTCCCCACTTTGCTCCTGCTGAATTAAACAGTAATTCTCAGGACTGCTTAGGAAGAGAAGCAGGGGAAGTTAAATAAGATCACCTTATTTCCAAGAGAGCCGAATCTTAAAGATCTGGGTTAGCAGGGTAGTTGGATATTATGAAACCTCAGTGCAGCATCTTTCTAAGGACTGCTTAAAGCTATAGAAGGAGAAAGGGAGAACGGGACATAGACATAGGCATAAAGATCAATTAGTCTTAATTGTAATCCAGCATATCTAGAAGGTGCCAGATTGATGAAGGCTGGGCGAACCTTAGACAAAACAAAAAAGTGTTTGTCTAAAACCTTAGACAAAAAGTGATTTGTGATCTTCCATATGCCACTGCACTACAACTCCTGGCACCCTTTATTATCTGCTATGCCAGCAAAGGCTCTTGGGAATTGTAGTTTAGCGACATTTGATGAGCCATATTCCTGGCCTAAGTGAAGTCCTCAGAACAGAACCGTGCCTCTGAAAACGGCTTTGTGTCTGAATGTTCCAATCTCTCGCCAGCAAATGCTTTGTGTGAGGGAAACCAAAGGGCAGCTTTCTGGTTTTTTGTTTTTAACTTTATCTCTCAGGAAATAACTGCAGGAAGAGGGGAGGAGGGGTGACACAGCACAAACGGGAAAAGAGTGGCCGTTGTGCACCCTGACAGATATTTCTCAAAAGAGATGCTAAAGGGGGGGAAAGCAACAAACAAAGCAAGGCCAGCAATTTAGGGAGGCACTGTGTGCCAATAACTGTTCAGCTTACTTATGCATAAAAACCTTATTCAGAGTTGGATTTTTGTACAGACATGTGCAGCTATGTTTCCACTGTAAACTTTTGGATAAAACGTGAGATGTTTTGCATTCAGATAGTAGTGCTCTCATTTTCTATCGGTCTTGCAAACAGCATGGTAGGCCTTAGAGCTCTTCAACCATCTGCTGCTTGGATTTTCTCAAGAAACTGAGGAAGATGACCTCTTGACTAGGAAGTTCTTCAAGCTACAGAGAAGACCTGGGCCACAAAAGTGCAGGATGTTAATGCTGCCCAGTCCAGGCCAAGGCCAATTGTCTTATTGGGCAGAAGAACAATATTTAGAGCAAAGGTGGGGAACATATGACTCCTTTATGACTTGTGGATTTCAACTCCCAGAATTCCTGAGCCAGCATGGCTCAGGAATTCTGGGAGTTGAAGTCCACAAGTCATAAAGGAGCCATAGTTCCCCATCCCTAATTTAGAGGGTAGGAGCTTCTCTGAATGTTCTGCTGCCAAAGCTTTGAGCTTATCCAGCTGTTGCTGAGCCCCAAGTGACCCAGTGGTTCTTCAGCATTCCTTCGTGCAACTTGAGTTCACACATTTGCTTTCCCACAGCCTCTGGCTTTTTTTTGCAGCCAAGTGGTTCCCAGTCTGGCGGTTTGACTTCTGCCTGTGGAACCTGACCATGACCTCAATCTAGATCCAAAGTGGAGTAGTTAAATTTAACTTTGGACAGAGCAGGGGGCATTTTGCCTCTGTATTGAAATGACTCTGGTATGGCCTTGCTCCTGTGACTGTAGATGTAGGTTTCCATCCAGGCTTGGACACAATGTATGGAAAATCCTGAATTTTGCCAGACTCGAGATTTTTTGAAGTGTAGCACTGTCAGTAGCCCTATTCACCTTCCAGCAGCCGGATGCTTGACTGATTCCAGGAAACTCATTGTGATAAAATCTAAAGTCGGGCGGGGAAGAGGCACCCTCTAAACAAAAGAGAACTACTACTTCACTATGTACTTGCAACCACTGGTTCCACTATACATACCTATAAGCACTAGTTCTACTGCACGGTATGTTTACAAGAATTCTGTATTTGGAAACATGGCCTTGAATTCAGCAAATGCATCACACCCGGCTCTTGTGTGTGGGAAAGACATGCACACAGAGATACACAAGCACACATTCCCCAACAAGACACTGGGCAACTGTGCAGCTTTATACATATTACAGAAATTGGCCCCATTGCATTTACATTTAAAAAGAGCCGAGGTGGCGCAGCAGTTAGAGTGCAGTACTGCAGGCCACTTTAGCTGACTGTGTTCAGCAGGTCAGCGGTTCAAATCTCACCGGCTCAAGGTTGACTCAGCCTTCCATCCTTCCGAGGTAGGTAAAATGAGGACCCAGATTGTTGGGGGCAATGTAAATATATATATATATATATATATATATATATATATATATATATATATATATAATATATGTGTGTGTGTGTGTGTGTGTTGTGTGTGTGTGTGTGTGTGTGTGTGTGTGTGTGTGTGTTTTCTGAGGTTTTCGCGGGTATTTGTATGTAGGTCTTTGGTTGTTCAGGTTTTCTCCCACGTAAAATTGGAAGTGTCTTGGCGACATTTCGACAAAGTCCCATTCGTCATCTTCAGGCTGGTGCTTTCAGCTTCGTGCTTTGAGCAGCAAATTGCTGCTCAAATGGGACTTCGTCGAAACGTCGCCAAGACACTTCCAATTTTACGTGGGAGAAAACCCAAACAACCAAAGACCTACATATATATATATATATATATACATTGCTTACTGGTGTACACCGCTTAGAGAGTGCTTGCACTTAAAGCGGTATATAAGTCTCATAAATAAATAAATAAATAAAATAATTCCCGGCATAAGAAGCCAAAATTACAATTCTATTGACGTGAAGCCATTTTCAATCAATGATTGAGTTCTTGAATTATATTAAGATAGGGTTTGTTCAACCATGGTTTATTGAAGAAACCACAGCTGTTCTCACACTGGGCTCTTATGCCAAAATCAGAGAATTCTGACCATTTCCTATCAGAGGCATTCCTAGAGCTTGATATAAATCAGGGGGCCTTCAAACGTGGCCGATTTAAGACTTGTGGACTTCAACTCCCAGAATTCTTCAGCCAGCATGGCTGGCTGAGGAATTCTGGGAGTTGAAGTCCACAAGTCTTAAATACATGCTAGTGGCCGAGCACCAGAATTCTGATCGCATGACCACAGGGATGATGTGATGGTTATGTGAGAACCAGCTGCAAGTCCTTCTTTTTAGTGCCATCGTAATTTCAAATGGCTGCTAAATGAACAGTTGCAAGTTGAGGATTACCTGTAGCACTTAACAAAACTTAAAAAAGAATTCTCAGTCACAACTCTGTGCTTCTAATTTTGCTTTTTCAAATCTATTCCTAGTCAGCACTTAGAGGGAGATTCAACCACTTGCATTCTTGCAAAATCTCTTGGATTAATGTGGCCTGTTGGGATTTTTCCCTCCAATTGGCAATAGTAATGGACTTATATACCACTTCACAGTGTTTTACAGCCCTCTCTAAGCAGTTTACAGAGTCAGTATATTTCCCCCCAACAATCTGGCTCCTCATTTTACCGACCTCGGAAGGATGGAAGGCTGAGTCCACCTTGAGCCGGTCAGGATTGAACTGCTGGCAGTGAGCTGAATTAGCCTGCAATATGGCATTCTAACCACTGCGCCACCGTGGCTCTTTTTTAAATGTAAATTAAAACTTTACCTTGGGGAAGTAGGCAGCGGTGGTGGCGATAATAGCGCCTTAAAATGTGGACAGCTGGAACTCTTTGAAGGAGAAATTGTAGCATCTGTTCTCTACAAAGACCATCTTCCCATTACAGTAGTTGGGTTGGCCTGTTGTTACCCCCAAAACCACCTGTTTTGCCTTTTTTAAAAAAAGCTACCTTCAAAAACTGGGCATGCTCACCCTATTCCGCTAAGTTCACCAAGATTCTTGTCCTTGTTTTCGACCAAG